GAGAACTCTAGGCACTGAAAACAGGGGAGTGAACAAAATACAGAAAAAACAAAAACAAAAAAAACCTTGCCTTTATGAAGCTTAATGAGGGAATGACTGGTTCGCTTTGGATCTTCAGGGAATCTTACGAATGCAGTTATTAAGAACAGGGGAATGTGGTTTGGCTCGGTGGATAGGGTATCAGCCACCTGTGAACTAAAGGGTCCTGGTTTGATTCTGGTGCTCGGGCTGCGGGCTTGATCCCCAGTAGGGGGCGTGAAGGATACAGTCAATCAGTGATTCTCTCTCATCATTGATGTTTCTAACTCTCCCTCTCCCTTCCTCTCTGAAATCAATAAAAAAAAATTTTTTTTTAAGAAAAGGGGTTTGTGGCTTGAAGACAGACACACTGGTGGGGGTAATAAGAGCATAGAGGAAGGGAAGCCAGTTACAGTGCTGCAAGGATGAGGTGTGAAGGCTTGGATAAGTGACAGCAACACAACAGGAGTGGAGAGGGGAAGCAATGAGGCAGGACGCTGCTTGGTTCTATGTGATGCCAGAGTAAGGAAGTGGCGATGATGATGAAAGTTTCCAATCTTGATAGTTTGCTGTGCTGCCCTGAATAGACAGGGAAGTTAGGAGGGGAAATAGCTGTGGTTGGTGGGTTTTAGGGTGTGGGATGAGTTACATCCATTTTGGATATGTTGCCTCTGAAAAAACAGAAAGGAATCTAGGTGAAAATGCTTAACACTTTAAGTAAAGATTTAGAGTGCAAGTGAAAACCAAATTCCCTTTTATCTCTGTTACATCATCTGAATAACGTAATGGTATTCCAAGCTCCTCTAGGAATCTGCTCCTTCACAACGGAATCTGCGAGTTATCCTGTCTTTTCGGTCCCTGGAACACGGTAGGGCCCTGAATAATATAGGTGAATTGAGTTGGTTGGCAGTAAGTAAAATGTTGTCATCTGGCCAAAGAGACATGTATGATTGGAGTCAGAAAGGCCTCAATTCAAATTCTTGCCTCCTCCCTCCCTCTCCTCCTAGTTATACTACCCGAGCAAATTGTGAGCCTGCATCTTAGACTTCTCATCCATAAAAAGAATGATAGAATTGATCTTGCAGTATGCTATGAGAGCAATTAAGTTAAAGTCCAGGAGGCACAAGAATCAAAGCAGTTACCACAGTACTGATTATTGTCACTGTCAGGTTTTGCCATGCCTTTCTCCTTCTCCTTTAATCCCTCTTCTCATTGGTGACATTCCATCCAGTCGGTCCTGCCGGAAGCTGTCCTCATGGAGTGGCCACCTGCCAGCCAGCTCTCCTAAAGCCGTCACTAAGCTCCTCTCCACATGGACGGCTGGTCTGTCAGCTCAAATCACCCAATTCAACTGACAACACTGTGCTTGCAAATTCCAAAATCAGGGTTAGTGCTTTAGATTTGGTCACGTTTACGCCTGGCTTACAAACTGTACCGCTGGGTCCTTATTTATACACAACTTGCATCCATGCAGTGTTGGAAGCAGCTTCCTAGTCCAGCATTTAAAAATACTCCGGAGATAGCTTTTCAAAGCAATCAAAAAGTAGCTACACCGAGAAAGCTGTACCTACATACTGTTTACTTCCAAAAGGTAAGTAAGAACCTGTGTTGCATCTACAGCAGGATTAGTTGTGATACTCAAGGATGTTAGTTCAGACAGAATGATGACTATCACCCACTGGCTCAGGCACTGCGTGAGGCACTGTATAATTTACCTTGGAAGGGAGTTAAACTTTTTCAAAAGACTCATACATTCTTCACAAATGAATAAAAGCTTGTGTAACCTTCATTCTTCTGTACTCTACAGTCGGCCCCAAGCAACGGCAATGTTAAGAGCAAAGACACATGGAACATAGCGCGCACGTGTGTGTGTGTGTGTGTGTGTGTGTGTGTGTGTGTATGTGTGTGTGTTTTGTGTGTGTGTGTGTGTCTGCATGGGCATGTGTGTGCTACATAGCAAGTGCTAGAGAGCGAATGTTTGTGTCCCTCTTCTCCTTCCAAATTCACAGGTTGGAGACCTAATCTCCAGTGTGATGTATTTGGAGGTAGGGCCTTTGGGAGGTAAATAGGTTTGGATGTGGATGGTAGAGCCCTATGATGGGATAAATGTCCTTATAAGAAAAGGGAGAGAGCAGAGCTTGCTCTCTCTTCCATCTGAAGGCGACCGCCTGCCACCCAGGAAGCAGGTCCTCATCAAACAGCAAATCTGCCTGGCACCTTGATCTTGAACTTCCTGCCTCCAGAACTGTGAAAAAATAAGTGTCTGTTGTTGAAGCCACCCAGTCTGTGGTGATTTGTTACAGCAGCCTGAGCTACAGCAGCAAGTGAACACAGCGCAGGCCTGGGAACACTGAGGGGGATCAATTTAGAAGAGAGAAGGAATCCCTGAGATGGTGAGGAGGGCCGGAGTCATCCCTGAGGAAGCCACCACGGCCCTGAGGAATGTGCTGTGGTCACCAGCGGGGCACAGCGCCACGCCACACCACAGCCTGGCCCTCATTTTCCACAGTGAGTCAGTCAGCAGGCGTCCCGATAGCACTGCCCTGGGATCGGCATTTTGGGTGGGAGGAAGGTCTTCCCCCGTACTGAGATGGCTTTCTCATCCTCAGGGTTTCAGGCGAACTCACAATGGTGACATTTGCCAGGCCTGAATAAAGGGCTCTCAGAGGGCACAACGGTAACATGGAGCACAGCTGGTCTGCCAGAGCACAGGGCCCAAGGAATGCTCCTTTGGGAAGGACCCACTGCCTCCAGAATTAAAAAAAAAAAAAAAAAAAAAAAAGGAAAGGAAAAGAAAAGAAAAGAAAAGAAAGAAAAGAACCCACAGGGTCCTGCAGCTCCACCCTGACAGTGCCATCAGCCAGAACTAACTGAAATGAGGTAAAGTATTGCCTCAAAGAGGTTTGTATCTACAACGAAGCTAGAATAAACCCTCCTTTTGATTCTAAACCATTTTTCTTAAATGCCAAGTAACCTTCAGTACCCCACCCGCCAAAAACAGAAACAAACGCGGAGGGAAGAATTTTATTCCCCGCCCCACTTCTGTTCACTATAGAATCAAGATATTTCCATCTTCACAGAAGTTTTGGAGTTCATCCTTTCAGGACTCCTCAAGTCCTCTAAACATTAAAAATAAAACACCATGTGATTTTTAAATTGCTACTTAAATAACAAAGGCCGGCTTGCCTTTGCTGTCTTCACCTCCCTTCAAAGGTAATAATTTGGTTCCCCATGTTACTAACACGGCAATAATAGCCCTTTAGCGATTTACCTAGGAATGTTTTGGTAGTGGGCCGGTGGAATCTGATCACTGCCTTGGTGCCCTGGACCAAAAGTTCCTTACTTTGCAGTTTTATCTGCACGAATTCTGAAAAACAGGTCAAAATGACCTGTGATGTTTTCCAGTCAAGTCACCAGAATCTTGCAGTGTGCATTACTGAACTGAAATGAACACATAAACCTATTACCAAAAAAAAAAAAAAAAAACCCCAACATTTTATATCATTTGAGCTATATAATGGCCATTCATTAATCAAATTGGACTTTTAAAGCAACACCTAATTATTTCCATAATTGGCGAGGTTATACCTTTATAGACCGTGCGGGCACGCACACACACAAACACACAACAGTGATCACTTAATTTGATTGTGAAACTCTGAGTTTCCTCTTTCACCCAGAACTTTCAGATGGTGTTCAAAGTCGGGTGTGGTTCCACGGGGTGTGTGTGTGTGGCGGAGATGGGGGTGTGGGGGGAGGAGGAGGATGAAAGGAGACCGGAAGAAGGATGGGAGGGAACTTGGCAAGAAAAACCCTTTAGGGACGCCTAGGAGAGGGTCTGCAGAAATGTCTTGCTAAGGAGAAATCCGCACATTGGAGGAAAATCTGGCTTTGGCGAGCTCTCGAGAACTTCGAGGCGCTCTAGTCTCCCCTACAGGCGAACCAACCGCACACAAGAAATCTGAGGTCCGGCTTAAAGTTGGGTAAAACTTTGGGACAAAGTGCGCGCGGGGCCCGGGGAGATCGGAGTCAGTCCCGTCTAACGGTCCACAAAATCCGCTAGGAGCCCGCAATCTCTGCAGGCAAAGGGCGCGGTGACTCACAGCCAACCGGTGACTCAGCGACCCCACCCGAGGCGGCGCGGTTCTCGGCCGCCGCCCAGCAGCTCCAGAGGTCCAAAGCCGAACCTAGCCTGTTGGTCTCTGAACAGCAACCCCCCAAACCAGAGGTTGAAAAAAGATGCGGGCCCACACTGTACCCCTTTCGAATAGCACTGCGCACAGGGCTGCGCGGGGCCGCGCCCCGAGTGTGCCCCGGGCTGTGCGCCCACCACCTCGGGCTCCAATCTTGGGCGCTCTTTGTTTCTTTCTCTGCGCCTTCCGATAAGCTGGGACCTCACTCCCCCCTTCCTGCTCCTATGCTCGCGAGTGTCCCCACCCACCCAGCCGCTCCCAGCCCGCGACCGCTGCCCCCCCCCCCCCCCCCGCGCGCTCTCCCCCAAGCCCATTGGCGCGGCGCTTGGGACCCCTTCGATCCAGCTCTGCTTGCGCTTCCCGCACCACTGGCCGCCGCCCCCTTTCCCAGAACCCAGGAGTGAGCAGAGTTCGGGCTATCACCAGGAAAGCCCCCAAAAGTCCAAGCCCAGCCAAGAAGTAACGGGACTGTGCTTAGTTCCGAGGAGCAGAGCTCACAAGAGGAGGAAAGCGCCAGGGAACCCCCGCCCTAACCTCCCTCTCACCCCCTCCCTCTTATCCCCCGCCGCCGCCCACCCTCCCCGCTACTCGCCGGGCCCCCATTGGCTGGGCTGGCGGTGGGAGGGAAGGTAACAGGTTATAAAGACTGCGCCCTGGGCGGGGTCCGGTCCTCTGCTCCTCTCGCCCCGGGGTCCTCACGCCAGAGCCGCAGCAGCAGCACTCCCGCCGCCCACAGCCTCTCCGCCCCGAGCCGTCCACGCCGCGCAGCGCACCGTCCCCTCCGCAGCCATGTCCACCAGGTCCGTGTCCTCGTCCTCCTACCGCAGGATGTTCGGCGGCCCCGGCACCGGCACCAGGCCGAGCTCCAGCCGCAGCTACGTGACCTCGTCCACTCGCGCCTACAGCCTAGGCAGCTCGCTGCGCCCCAGCGCCAGCCGCAGCGTCTACTCCTCCCCGGGCGGCGTGTTCGCCACGCGCTCCTCGGCCATGCGCCTGCGGAGCAGCGGGCCCGGCGTGCGGCTGCTGCAGGACTCCATAGACTTCTCGCTGGCCGACGCCATCAACACCGAGTTCAAGAACACCCGCACCAACGAGAAGGTGGAGCTGCAGGAGCTGAACGACCGCTTCGCCAACTACATCGACAAGGTGCGCTTCTTGGAGCAGCAGAACAAGATCCTGCTGGCCGAGCTCGAGCAGCTCAAGGGCCAGGGCAAGTCGCGCCTGGGCGACCTCTACGAGGAGGAGATGCGGGAGCTGCGCCGGCAGGTGGACCAGGTCACCAACGACAAGGCCCGCGTCGAGGTGGAGCGCGACAACCTGGCCGAGGACCTGATGCGGCTCCGGGAAAAGTAAAGCTGCGGCGCCCCGCGGGGCCGAGGGAGGGAGGGAGGGAGGTGGGAACCTCTTTCCACCCGCCTGGGCTGCCACACCCTTGGGGGTGTAGTGCGCGGCGGCTGGGGGAGGTGGGGGTGGAGGTAGGGCTGGGGCTGGGGGGTGGCCACCCGGGAAGGGAGCTCTGCTTGCGGTGGCGCAGCCCCACCCAGAGCCAAGCAGTTGCAACTAGCGTTTCCCCTCTACCCCCTCCCCCTCATTGCCTAAGATTGCCCTTTTCAAGTTACAGATTTCTTGAAACTACCACTATATAGTGGGATGGTGGCCCTTGCAAACTATGAGCGTGACATCTCCAAACTTTTGTTGGAGTTCCCTGGCCGCCTCTGGCGGGCTGCCAGAGCTGGGCGGAGGGGGGAGGAAGGGATGGCTGTGCAGCAAGAGAAACAAAGGGTTCCCCGGGCTTCTGGGGGGGGGGGGGGGGGTTGGAGGGGCGGCATTCTACTTGCAGGTCCGTGCGCCGACAGTGATTGCTCTGCCACGCTGCGGTCCAAATCTCGCTAACACTCGCCGAGAATGGCAGGCAGTTCCCAAAGCGCAGCGGCTCTGGCTGCCTGCGGAGCTGGCCACCAACTTTTGTCTGCAGCCGGGACGCGGTGGTTGGGTGTGGCCGCCCCGCCCTTAGCGGTTTTCCATTTCCCCTTTGGTTAATGTGCAACTGTTTCAGGTTGCAGGAGGAGATGCTTCAGAGAGAGGAAGCCGAGGGCACGCTCCAGTCTTTCAGACAGGTTTGTAAACCCTCTCCCACTCGCAACTACCGGATCCCCCCTCCCCACCCCCTGAGGAACCCACGGCCACGGGCAATTCTAAAAGTTAACTCCCCGGAGTCTAAACAATGCAAAACTTCACACGTCCGTGCGCAAGGCCCCCTAGCGGCAGAAAGGCCACATTGGGGCCTCTCCGGGTAAAAACTCTTGGAAGATTTAAACCGTCCAGTCCCTCTTAGGACATAAAGAAAGTCTTTAAATTTTTACTTTGTTTCCAAATTTCTTACAAAAAATTTTTTTTTCCGTTTCGATTTTGGAACACATTGATATTATGATTTCGAAAAGTTACAAATTGAGTTAGGTTGCGTTTGCTAAGTTAGCTAACTTTTACAAGGCCACAAAAATCGCGCAATTCTGCCCTGTAGTTAAAAATGCAACCGTGTTTGGAGCATAAGAAACTTAGTTTTACTGGCACTAAGCCAACCAGTTTTAAGTTCTATTGTGACACTAAAGTTAGATGGAAGCATAGCTATGCATAACTATTTTGTGATCTAATAAGGGTGAAAGGGAGCCATCTGTGCCCTGGCTGGAAGGTGTTAATGGTTTCTCTGGGCAGCCCTATGGAATGTAGACGCAGACCTTCTGGCGAGTGTGGTGGTTCTGAAGAGAAATAATAGGAGTCTTTGTGTTCCTAAGACAAGCTTTGCAACAGGCTACATTCTTATTGAATATGTAATGATGTAAGCACAGTTCTAATTGGACACAAGTATTTGCTAACATCCGTTATCTAATATCTGGCCCAGACTTGGTGAAGTATGTGATGTGAAAAGTTCTTAAAGCTACAGTCATGCCTCACGTTTGGAAAGGCCTTTCTTTATTGGGTCCTTGTATTATTATCCTCTTCATAAATAAGAAATAACCCTAAAGCTAAAAAAGGGAAGTTTAATTAAAGTTTTTTTTCCCCTCTAAATTAAGATGGACTTAAAGAATTTCTTAACTTAAAATTGAAATCCAAAAGCAGGAAGAGTTCCCAGCAGTTTTATTCTCCTGAACACTTACACTTACTGGGATTGGCTATAAAAGCACTCTCACATGTAAAGTCTAGAATAACATTTGAAGCAGAAATACATTTGTCAAATTAACTTAAACACAGCAGTGTGTGATCATTATATCTGTTACAGTTTTCTGCAGAGAAGCGAGTTAATATATAACAATATTAGTATAAAAGGTCTATTTAGGGATTAGGTAACATTTCCCATATTCTCTTTAATAAAGTGTCACGTTGCACTTTTTTATAGAGGGTAGTAAAATTATCTTTTATATCATTTTTTTAGGGTTTAACAACAAGTAAAAAAGAATTTTTTCCCATGCCTGATTTTTTTGTTTTCTTTTGGTCGTGATCTTTTCATGAATGTGATAGAAGTGTCTCAACATTTTAAGAATGTTAGGCTGTAAACTGTACTCCAAATATAACTGCTTATAAGACAGGAGGTATAAAAATCTTTATGACATTCCCTTTAGTTGCAAAATTATATATTCTGATTTGGAATATATAGCAGTTAACAAATGATGAAAACTCAGACGGGAGAGCCAGAGCAGCAAGAATTCTACACAGACAGTAGTTTCTTTACATGTAAGCATTTTGATTAGTCATTCTGAAACAAGCTAAGAACTGAACTGACAGTGTGCTAAGTGAAAAGGATGGACACACCCATGTAGGAGGAGACGGGGGAGTTTCAGGGGAAAAAAGGTCCACCAGAGAAAGCAAAGCAAATACAGTTCAGAAATACATTTTTTCCCTGATTGCCTATCCTGCATCTTTGCCATTGCCCATCCTAAATTGGAGTATAAATCTAGCCTTGTACCCTGAATGCCAAGTGACCACATATTTGTTTTAAATTATAATGATGTTTTAGATAACTTGAGTAGAGGATAAAAGAGCTCAGGTCTACACTAAAACTTTTGAAGCAGGAATTTCTGTTCTGTGTGGACTCATGTATTTTAAGATACGAGACTTGGTGAACATCTTTCACATTGTTATTCCATGATATTAAAACGATGGCATTGATTTTTCTAAATTTAAAAAAACACTTCAATGTTGTAATATAGATTTAGTAACGATTCATGGAGTACAGTTTACCATGATGGCATACATTTATTTATTTTTAAATTGTCAGTTAGCTACCTTGATATAACATAGTGGGGTCCCAGTTCAAGTTTGTTAATGAGAAGAAAACATAGTATATTGGCACTGGGTCATCTATAAAGTTATTCAAAGGTCAAAAGTTTGTCAAGGCCATTTTTATGATAAAGACAATAAGCTTATATGATTAATAAAACCGAGTAGATTAGATAAGCCATAGACTTGAGCATGCTTCACATCCCATCTTTTCTCTTTGAAATAGGATGTGGACAATGCTTCTTTGGCACGTCTTGACCTTGAGCGCAAGGTGGAATCCTTGCAAGAAGAGATTGCCTTTTTGAAGAAACTCCACGATGAGGTAAGTGGAGTCACTTTCCGTGAATGAACATGGGTGAAGCTGTTCCCATCCTTGACATGGCTGACCTGTCTGTTCTTTCTGTTTTTTCCTCAGGAAATCCATGAGCTTCAGGCCCAGATTCAGGAGCAGCATGTCCAGATCGATGTGGATGTCTCCAAGCCTGACCTCACCGCTGCCCTGCGCGATGTCCGTCAGCAGTATGAGAGTGTGGCTGCCAAGAACCTCCAGGAGGCTGAGGAATGGTACAAGTCCAAGGTACGGAACCAGGGAAACGCACTTGGGTCACGCCCTTTAGCTCCAGTCAGAAAGCTGGCTTTAGCTTCACGTTCAAGGTGTATTTGCTGCTACAGCCTCTCCACCCATAGCAGACTCCCTTCCCTTTACTCTTCTCTGATTCTACTTCCAAGTAAACCCTACCCCATGCCCTTGTCCTCCACACTTTTATTTTTATTTTTATTTTTAATATATTTTTATTGATTTTTTAAGAGAGGAAAGCAGAGAGATAGAGAGCCGGAAATGTCGATGAGAGAGAAACATCAACCAGCCGCCTCCTGCACATCCCCTACCGGGGATGTGCCCGCAGCCAACGTACATGCCCTTGACCGGAATCGAACCTGGGACCTTTTAGTCCGCAGACCGACGCTCTACCACTGAGCCAAACCGGTTTCGGCTATCCTCCACACTTTTAAAATGAGAGTAATAGTGTGAATTTCTACTTGAAACTATCAATGTCATCATTCCATTACTTTTTCTCTGGTTTCAGAAACATAGTTTTTTCTTTTCACTTTTAAATATATATATTTTTATTGATGACAGTATTATAGATATCTTCCATTCCCCCTCCCCTTCCTCTCTCTTCCCAACCCCACATCAAGGTATGTCATTCTCACGTGATGTCACTTATTGGTGGAATCTGATGAACAAAATGAATTGTCCAAAACAGAAGTTTAGACATGTTTTGGTAGACATTGAGATTTGAACTTAAAATAGAAGATTTGGTTTGTATTATGCCTTCATTTATGTGCCATCTTGAAGCTATCTCGTTTGCTCAGGTAAGGTAGACTCTTAGAAACGAGTTGCCTGGGTGATCTACATTTCTCATTCCTTCCTGACAGTTTGCTGACCTCTCTGAGGCTGCTAACCGGAACAACGACGCCCTGCGCCAGGCCAAGCAGGAGTCAAATGAGTACCGGAGACAGGTGCAGTCCCTCACCTGCGAAGTGGATGCCCTTAAAGGAACTGTGAGTATCACACACAATAAATAGCCTATTTGGGTCCATTCAATTGGCCAAGCTCATGGTGACATCTGAGCAAAACTCCCAACAAAGAAAAAAAGAAAATGAGTTGTTAAGACAGATCCAAAAAGCACTTGAGATCTGTAAATTTTAGCTTATGTTATCACTGCTGTGAAGGAGGTACTTGGTACTTGTATTCTTTACCTAAAACCGAAGTGTTCGCCATTTGTCCCTCAGGGACATGGCTGCAAGTGGTCTGTAAATTGTTCTGGGAACTGTAGGGTTTTTCTGGAAAATAACAGTGGAAGCCTTTCTCACCTCCTGCAGAACGAGTCTCTGGAACGCCAGATGCGTGAGATGGAAGAGAATTTCGCTGTGGAAGCTGCTAACTACCAAGACACTATCGGCCGCCTGCAGGATGAGATTCAGAACATGAAGGAAGAAATGGCCCGTCACCTTCGTGAATACCAAGACCTGCTGAATGTTAAGATGGCTCTGGACATTGAGATTGCCACCTACAGGAAGCTGCTGGAAGGCGAGGAGAGCAGGTACAGAACTAGGCAGAGTGTGTGTGAATTAGCAGCTGCCATTTGCTGGGTATTGCTTTACATATTGCATCATATTTCCTCTTTAGAGCACTTCTTCAAGGTGGCTGCTTACTTACCACCTTTTATAAATAAAGAACCTTAGGTCCAAAGAGATTGAGCGACCTAGTCAGTGAATCAGTAGCAGAGCTGGGATTTGAAGCTATGATTCTCTGAAAGCCAGTGCCTTTCCCCACTCGGAAGGCCCCCAGCACATGCCCCTATGGGGAAAATGCTTGGGGTAAAACATTTAAATGTACTAATGAGATCAGTCAGGCATAAATGCTTCTGAAGCAAATCCCTCACTTAAGAAACACATGACATTTTCTTGATGAAAACTAGAAGTGCATAAATTTATTCCTTGTCATTTGAGATATTTTTTCAAACATTTTACTGTTTTTCTTTATCTTTTGTAGGATTTCTCTGCCTCTTCCTACTTTTGCTTCCCTGAACCTGAGAGGTAAGCATTTGATTGCTATTTATGAATAATTTTCGTAGCTTGTAACCATTATAAAGCACTCATTTTAAAAATGACACTTGAAAAATGCCATACCAGAGGACATTCTATTTTCATCCCATTTTCAAATCCAACTACTGTCTTACCTTCTGTGCAAACTCCACTGATTCTACTGCTGGTGCATACACTGCAGTAGTTTATCTCATCCTGACGTTCCAGTGCTGTCAGACTGGGTTTTGAAATAGTTAATCATCTTTAGAATTATTTTGGGAGTAGTGCTTTAAACAGTTGTGAACAAAAAACCATAATTCTTTGGGACAAACGGTTACTTGCCTTGCTAATGTGTAATTTTTACTCATTTTGGCCCATTTTTCTTATTCAGAAACCAATCTGGATTCACTCCCACTGGTGGACACCCACTCAAAAAGGACACTTCTGATTAAGACAGTTGAAACTAGAGATGGACAGGTTGGTATCTTTAGATCAAAATTGGAGTAATCTCAAGGCGCTGATCTCCTTTTAAATCAATAAGTCTAGCTCAGATACAGCCAGCTGATTTGGAAGGTTTCTGGTTCACTCGTGCCAACTAGAAAGAGAATCGGCCCCTTCTTCCAGCACTATATACAGCCAACTGAGTATTTGGCTCCTGGATGTGAAAGGCAGAAAACAGTCTTCCAATTAGTGATTTCTCTACGGTCTTTAATTTAAAATGGGAGTACAGCTTCCTTAAGTTATTTCCTAGACTAGTTTTATGGACTGTGTCATGAGACTGGACACACCGCCCTCCCTAACCACTCCTAGGCTCCCCTACGCAACACATGGACATGCCATGTGATCAAGTCGTCATGTCAGCTCCGTGCCAGGAAAGAAATGGTCCAAAGTTATGGTAATCCTCATGTAATCTTCCCTTGCACACAAACTTAAAACAGGTGATAATTGTTTTTAAACTTTGCTGCATAGAATTATTATAGAATCCTTCTTCACAAACCCTGGCCTTTTTATAAAATGTTGTTTTTCAGCCATGATATTCCATTGGCTACTTACTTTGGGTATGAGTGAAGAGCGTCTTACATAGTATCTGTCCCTTGCCTCCTCCCTGCCATCCCCTCCCCTGCTGTAACCCTACTGGTCATGCAGAACCAACATAACCTTCCAGCTTCCCCAGTAAATTACATATAATTGGTAGAGCTTTTCCTTGTCATGCCTAATGGAGTAACCTTATCTTTGGCATGTATTATTATATTTTATTTGAATCTTATCTTTTTTTATCAGGTCATCAATGAAACTTCTCAGCATCACGATGATCTGGAGTGAAAACTGCATGCACTTGGTGCTGCAATATATTACCAGCAAGAATAAAAAGGAAATCCGTATCTTAAAGAAACAGCTTTCAAGTGCCTTTCTGCAGTTTGTCAAGAGCGCAAGATAGATTTGGAATAGGAATAAGCTCTAGTTCTTAAGAACCAACACTTCTAAGAGAATTAGAAAAACAAGTTTACAACATAATCTAGTTCATGAAGAAGGCTTGTGCTAGAATACTTTTTAAAAAGTATTTTTGAATACCATTAAAACTGCTTTTTTCCAACAAGTTATCTGACCAATTTGTTTCTGCTTCAATAAAATCTTTGAAAAACTCGTTTGGTGTCTTATTTAATAATAGCTATACAACTCTCAATTTTATGAGACTATGTTTTAGTTAAAAAATGTTTGGTCCTAATTGGCTAATTTGACAAAAATGAAGTTTAGGTTAACTCACTAAATTCAACTTATTTATGCTTAAGGGGTAGCTCTTAATTTGGTCATTTAGGTAGACTTCACTTCATTATTTTTCGTTTTGTTTGTTTTTTGTTTTTAATAAACTAGAGGCCTGGCCTGAAGGGATCGGGCCTCTTACATCCCTTAAGGGGTCCTGGTTGTGAGAGGGCACAGGCCAGGCTGAGGGGACCCACTGGTGCCAGATTGATGGGACTGGGGAGGGACTGAGAGAGGGCTCCAGGGCCTTTCGCACCCTTCGCCACTCCCCCTTCCTCTCCCCCCATTTTGCCTTGTCCCAGTCCTGATTGGCCAGACCCCAGCAGCAATCTAACCTACCCGTTGGAGCTTTTGTCCCTGTTGGTCAGTGTGTATCATAGTGAATGGTCAAATGGTCAGACACTTAGCGTATTAAAGCTTTTATATCTCTAGACTAGAGGTCCAATGCGTGAAAATTCATTCAAGAGTAGGCCTTTCTTGCCCCAGCTGCCAGCATTGCTTTCCCTCCAGCACTTGGGACCTGGGCTTCCCTCCTCTGGTCACCCACCAGCACCCGGGACCCGGGCTGGCTTCCCTCCAGCCCCAGCTTGGTCAGGAAGATGTCCTTCTTATCTTAGCATATTACCCTATTATCCTATATAATAAAAGAGTAATATGCAAATTAACCACCAATCCGATATACCCACAAGCCACATTCATAAGCCAATCAGGAGCAGCCACAGAGAAAGGAGGGAGGCTTGGGTTTTCCTGGCGATGGAGGAAGCCAAGCTTTCTACACATCCTGGTGGGTCCAGGCCTCCACTTAAAGCTACAGAGTTTCAATTATAGAAGATATATAAATCCAAATAGAAATGGCTGCAGCCACGAAGCTGAAGAGAGCAAGAGCCTAGGGTTTCCCCCAGCGATGGAGGAAGCCAAGTTTCTGCAACCCTGGCTGGCCCAGGCCTTTACCCCAGGCTACAAAGTTTAAATTATAGAAGATAAATAAATCCCATCAGAAATGGCTGCTGCCAGGGAATGAGCAGATAAATAAGCCCCAGATACCAGGGCCTCTTCTTGGGTCACCAGTGGGTATGGCCAGCCTACAAACCACTACAGCTCCTAGCCCAGGCTGCCCCATGCCTCAAGGGAACCCTAATCAAGACACCCTTCAGGCAAACCAGCTGGCCCCCATCCATGTGCCAGGCCTCTATCCTACCTAATAAAGGAGTAATATGCAGATTAACTGTCACTCCAACACACAAGATCCTGCCCCCATGTGGACACAATATGGCTGCCACAAGATGGCCAGCAGGGGAGGGCAGTTGGGAGGGACCAGGCCTGCAAGGAAGGACAGTTGGAGGCAATCAAGCTTGCAGGGGAGGGAGTTAAACGGTGACCCAGGCTGGCAGAGGAGGGAAGTTGGGGGCAAATAGGCTGGAGGCAGTTAAACATCAATCAGGCTGGCAGGGGAGTGGTTAGGGGGTGATCAAGCTGGCAGAAGCAATTAGGGGCAATCAGGAAAGAGGCAGGTGAGCAGTTGAGAGCCAGCGATCCTGGATTGTGAGAGGGATGTCCTACTGCAGGGATCAGGTCTAGACAGGCAGTCGGACATCCCTCAAGGAGTCCCAGATTGGAGAGTGTGCAGGCTGGACTAAGGGACACCCCCTCCATGCATGAATTTTGTACACCAGGCCTCTAGTTATTATAGATACATAATAAAACAACATACAAAATTTACAACAGCTCTTTTCAAAGAATGATTCCAGCTGGTTCCATACCCATGAGTAATTTCACTTCTAACAAATAGACTTCCTAAAATTGAAAGCTTTGACTAAAATGAACATTTTTTCTTGGTATATGTAGCAAGTGAGTAGCACAAAATCCAATTGTGGGAGTTAAAGCATAGGACAATAGGCAGGTTACTGGGACTTCATCCCCCATTAGCAAGATGCAAAGAAAGGGGACAAGTTCAAGTTCCCACATGAAACTGCCCGGCCTTTCTGTGAGTGCATATATGTAAAGGATACCTAAATCTATATTTACCTATAGATGGATATTCTCAAAAACCTTTACATATGGGGAGCAACGCTGACACAAAATAAAGGAAAACCCTTACCTTTTCATCTGGGAGATGAGACTAGTCTATGTGAGTCAGATGTTGAAATGATGCTCACTGTCAGTGTAATAAACTTTCACATCTGGAGCAAGGACAATGAAGTATGGGCTTGCCATTCTATCGCTAGACCATGCAACGTGAGCAGGCTCTGGAAACAGTACAGTTTAGAGGGGCCCTGGCCAGGTAGCACAGTTGGTGAGAGCCTTGTCTCGGGTCCAATCTCCAGTCAGGGCACATACAAGAATCAACCAAGGAATGCATAAATATGGTGAGTGGAACAGCAAATGTATGTCTATCGCTTTCCTCTCCCTCTCTCCATTTCTCTCTCTAAAAAAATAAAATAAAATAAAAATTAAAACAGAAGAGGGGAGGGTTTTACCTGGAGGCAATGAAGTTGTAAAGATAGATTGCATTTTTCTGAAGGGAAACTCCTGTGGGAAATTTTCTGGATTCTCCAGGTCCCAATTTACTGTATAACTGTTATGCTCCCTCGCCCAGGAATGATGTGGTGGGGGGCACTTGTAATTTTTAGGTGTTTATGTCTATCTCAGGAGTCAATGAGAGAAATAGTGAAATAGTTCACGTAAAGCCCACCCACATGGCAGGCAATGTGCTCAGTAATGTTAGCTGCGTGTTTCGTGGGTTTTGTTACTGCAGACACTGGTGAGAAAAGGAAGATGGGCCTGGTAGTAACCCTTGGTGGGTGACTTCCCCTCTTAGTTCTCTTAGGGTGCTCAGGGTCTATGCTTGCTTATGAATAGTGTCCCCTTTCAGACTCACACGTGTACCAGCATGGTCAACAGCTCTTTAGTCATCCTACCCTTGCAGGGAAGGAGAGTCATCCTGCGAGGCCTGTTGTGCCCCCCCAACCCCTCACCCTCCATCTGGGAACCACTGACATGTTGGAAGGCATGAGCAGCACTGCTAGAGCACATATCCAGGTCTTTGGGCCCTTATGGTACTTTTTCTATTTCATATTTGGTTTTGTTTTCTGTTCTCTAGCTATTTTCACTATATTTCCCTCCATCTCCTAACCTCACTTACCCCATCTCTTCTTCCATTTCTACCTGCCTTTGGCTTATAAAGCTCATCCAGGGAAGACACCAGCCAGTGTTGGTTTTCTTTAATCACATGACCTTTTATTATTATTATTTTTTAATTGAAGCTATAGGGTTTTGTTTTTTGGTGATTTTTTTGTTTTGTTTTGTTTTTTTTTCAGGGGCAAAAGGAACCAGGATGATAAGTTCTGCCCATATATTTTGAGACTAGTAGGCTCCCACCCTTAAAAAAAATCTTACAACTCTTTTCTAAATCGTCCTCCCTGAAATGGAAAGGATGAGCTGGTCTTCCTTATCTGTGACTCTCAGAAATTAGCCCTTAATGAGGATCCTCAAAGGGGCCCAGCTCATAGGAATTCAAATCTATTTCAGTCTTTTTTATTTTTATCTTTAATTACACTGTTAGCATTTTCCTTATCTTGTTTAGAAAAACAAATAAAAAGAAACTATGTTCTCATCACTTATGGTGAAGCAAAGATTGATGCTTGGTTCTGTTATGTATAACACTAGAGGTCCAGTGCAAGAAACTCTTGCATGGAAAGAGGATGCCCTCAGCTCAGCCTGCACTCTCTCCAATCTGGGTCCCCTCAGGACTTCGGGCACATAACCGCTTACCTGCCTGCCGGCCTGTTCACCCTAACTGCTCTCCCCTGCTGGCCTGATCCCCCTAACTGCTTTCCCCTGCCTGCCTGATCGCCTCTAACCTCCTCTGCCTTGGCCCCACCAACATGGCTTTGTCCAGAAGGTCATCTGAAAGATGTTCAGTCTAATTAGCATATTACCCTTTTATTAGTATAGATGCCACTTTGCCCTAAAAATGCAGGTTGTTCCCAGGTTTTCCTATAGTGGGAAGTGATCACTCAGTAGCATCCTGGGTTCTGATCAGGGCTTATGCACTTGTGCTTTATCTCAGCAGATGTGATTCCTAGAAGACTCTTGAATGTATCTTGAACATTTCTATTGAATTTGCCTAATTATCCTCTGAAAATGTTGAACCACTTTAAACTGCCACCAGCAACCATGTGTGTGCCCTCCATCCCACTTTGATGTCAATAGTATTAATTTCTCCCTAGAAGCTTCCCTCCCTTTAGCCAAGACTGCTTGGTACTTGAGCCAACCTCATCATTCAGCCCAGGACTTGATTTCCCCAAAGAATGATGGAAGAGGAAAAATAGTTTTCCCTTACCTTTCTGAGTTCTTAGCAGAGGCCCTTGTAATAAAATATTGATCACCAAGAGAAAAACAAAAGTTCATTAACATGTGTATTTCCTGTATAAGTGGGAGATCCCAGGGAAAAATTAGTAACTCCCCAAGGTGGCTTAGAATGCAGATTTAAGTACCTTCTTCCTAAGGAAAGGGGGTAGGAGATATAGGCCTCTTAGAGAAGAGTAAATGATTTTTAGGAA